CGAATGATTATAGAAATCGTGAGTAATCAATTTGTAATTTACTTTTGTTGTGCTTCGATGGCCAGCTCCCCTCCTCCAAGTCTCTAGACTCTGGTACCCACATGGATAGCTCAGTTGGTCGAGTGGTGGGAAAATTGGACCAAGTGACCAAGGTTCGAAATCCGCAGCAGCCGTGTGGAGGTTACAGAATCTAAAATAAGGCTGGACCTTTGGTGCACACGTGTATAAGGTCTACCGCTGCTTTGCTGACTGAGTCACCGTGATTAACCTCCCCACCATCCTGTCGGGATGGGGGTTGGGGTTGGGGTTGGGCATTCAACCTTTTGGACCAAGTCTCTAGACTCTGGTGAGTGCCGATCAAGCTTTAATCATTCCGTTTTTAAAAAAAGTTTCTCATTTGACTTCACATGTGTTTAGGTAGTATTAAAATAATGGTTGACTTTCCAATATTGCCCTTGATGGGATGTGGGCAGCCGAAAAGGAGAAAATAATTAAAAGGGGTAATGAATAGTAACAAATAGTAACTCTTTTCTATTCAACTTCAAATAACATCATTAGCAATCACATCAAGGTTTACACCACACAAAGAGCAACCCAAAAAATTTAAGGTTCCCTTCATACATTACTATTCAAGCCTAATTTTTACATTCCCTCCTTTTTTCAAACAAAAAAACTCTATCTATAAATAGAAAACATTAATGGCATGCCTTTACTCCTATCTACTTCTCCCCCTTTCTGGCCGCTTTCACCACATGGATCTCAATCTGCCACCCCCAATTGATCCCCCTCTGGCATCACTTTCTGATTCAGAGCAACCTGCAGAAGAAGGTCACAATGAGGAAGAAGGAGAGGGTGCAACAATGAACATAAAATGGCCAAAACTAATTGATGTCCAAAGAAGAAGAATCAGTGACATAATGTTAACAAATTATGTGGACGGGAAACTTGAGAGGGGCTTATTGATTAACAAAGCAAAGGAATTTAATGTTTCCACCAAGACTGTGCGAAAGCTGTGGAACAAGGCACAACAACTGGCAACTGGGGTTGCAATTAATGTTCATAGCATACAAAAGGGACATGTGGGTAGAAAACCAATCCAATATGACTTGGAAAAAAATTCAGACATTCCATTCCACCACAGGAAAAATATGAGAGCTTTGGCCTCTGCCATGGAAGTGTCCCCCACAACAGTTCACAAAAGATTAAAAGGCACTCAAATGCAATAAAACCTCTTTTGATAGATGCAGGGAAAGGTTAAAAGGTTAGAGTTTTGCTTGAGTTTTATAATTCCAGCCTCATTACCCTTGACCCCCACATTTCATGATAGTTATGACCAGATACACATTGATGAGAAGTGGTTCTATTTGTCACAAGAAGCATCCACCTTCTACACCCTACCAACAAAACAGGATCCCTACAGGGCTGCCCAATAAAAAAAATTATAGCAAAGATAATGTTCTTAGCTGCAGTGGGCAGACCTAGACTGGGGGAAAATGAGGAGGTGTTATGGGATGGAAAGATTGGGATCTTTCCATTCACTATTGAAGATACAGTCAAAAGAACAACTAAAAACAGGCCAGCTGGGACTTTAGAGACTAAAGCAACACTCAGTGTGACAAGGGCAGTCATATAGGACATGATACTCAACCAACTTTTACCAGCAATAAAAGAAAAATGGCCCGATGCAAGTAATAGGAGTATAATAATTCAGCAAGATAACGCAAGGCCTCACATTGACATAAATGATCCTGATTTTGTGACCTATGCAACACAAGATGATTGGGCAACTCAGGTATCAACCACCTAATAGTCCTGACCTAAATGTCTTTGATTTGGTTTTTTTTAGAGCAATAGACTCCATCAAAGAACAGAAGGCCCCCATAATCATAATGGGGTTAATAGATGCATTGACCAGTGCATTTGAGGAGGTGACACCTACTACCCTCAACAAGGTGTTTCTAAGCTACCAATATGTCATGGAGGAAGTCCTTAGAGATAATGGTGGAAACAATTTGAAGTTGAGGCATGTAGGGAAGGACAGATTGCAAAGGTTGGGATTATTACTTAAGAATGTGCAAATTACACCTGAACTGTATCAGACATCTAGAGCAAGTATGGATGCACATCTGACAACTACCACACCAAACAATGCAAGTCAACAAAATGAGTTCATAGGTGAAGATTCATGACATCTTCACAGATGAACTTTTCAGATTGCAGTTAACACAAAGGCTTCTTTTTTAATGTTGCACTCATATAAACTAGTTCACACACCTTTATTTTGTGAGCACAAATGATTTTTTGTTAGTAGACTAGAATAGGTGTGTAAAGTGCATTTTTTGTAATCAAATGTAGAAGGTAGACAGGACAATCGTTAGGTCCAGCCCATGCTTCTGTAATTTGCCCTATAGTTATATGTAATGAAATGGAACTTAATTCAGGGACTCCCAATTGTTGTATGCCATTGTCAACACAGTATAAAATCATTCACATGTCATACACATTTCATATCAATGAAGCCCCATTTTATCATAAGTTACAGACATGGACATGTAATTAAAAATGCAGACAAGCACTGTATCTATTCAAAGTATAGTATCTGTTCAACAAAAGCAGAAGTTCCAATCAATAAAACAAAGCATAGTATCTGCTCAACACAAGCTGAAGTTCCAATCAATAAAACAAAGCATAGTATATGTTCAACACAAGCAGAAGTTCCAATCAATAAAACAAAGTATAATATCTGTTCAACAAAACCAGAAGTTCCAATGAATAAAACAAAGCAAAGTATCTATTCAAGACATGCACGAATTAGGTCACACGCACAAACACAAATTCCATTTCAGAAATTAGGATTAACATAGTTACTGCCCTTTCGTGCATGCATCCGAATCCGCATCAGCTTCCCAGCCTATTTCACCGTCTGAAAAGGGGCTCCCCATGCTGCCTTCCTCGTCTTCCGACCCCTCACCACATTCCCCGACTACTTTACCACCATCCTTCCAAACCGAGGTCACCTCTTCCCCGCCTGAATCGAAGAGGCCTTCTAAGCCATCGAACGTATCTGAAACAAGGTTATCACCGTATTTTTTCCGGATGGATCGGTTCAGATCTGTTTCGGTATCACTGGAGTACCGAAATCGAACAAAAATAGGCATCCGAAATGGAACTCGACTCAGATCAGACCTCGTAGGTGACATAAGGTGTGGTTTTGGTTTCAGATCTAATGGGGGAGGCAGTTTTGGATCCATACATAGGAAGCAACGGTGGTCGGAGGAGTTTCACAAATGTGGAGGGATGAAGGGTTTTCACTTTTCAGACTTGGGGTAACTATGGGGGAGAGGAGAGGACAGTGACAGAGAGAGGAGAGAGGGTAAGATGGGGGATGTGGTAATACGGAATAAAGGTTGGTAGACAGGGTGGGTGATGGGGGAGTGGTAAATGGGTTGGGATAATATTGTAAGGGTAAATGGGTATTTTTCACCTCCAAAAAATTCCTAAAACAGAAAGGGGAACTTAATTTGGGAACTACCCAAAAAAGAAAGTGAGAACTTGTTTTAGAAACGGAGGAAGTATTTTAATTCATCACTTATACCAAAAAAGTATCACAAGTTTAGTTTTAAAACACTATCCATGTAAACATTTTAGCCTTCTATAGCATTTCACTTATGAAAAAGTAAATTAAGAAGAAATATAAATTTCATAAACATTCATATATATCTTATGATATAAAGAAATAGAAATTTAATAATAGAAAAAATGTCAAAATAGGTAAGTAGTATCGGAAAACGTAAAAATAAATAAATCGAAAATAAAAAATCCAAAAATAGAGAAAAATGTAAAAAATTTAACTAATATTACAAAGGTGTAGATACTTTTCCGACATAATTCCAAAAATGTAAAATAAGCAGACTTATTAGATGCTTTTTAGTATACTTTTTTGAATATTTTCCTACATTAGACTATAGTTATGTACATTTTACAGTCAAATATTTGGCTCGAATTCGACTATTACTCAATATTAAAAACCCTAAAATTGCCTCGATTTTTTCTTCAAATATCACAGCCGCTCACTGGCTAGCTGTGGAACGGTTTACATTGCTCTAGCTACACAATGATTTACATAATAAGATCAAGGGAATAGTTTGCTCAAAAATAATCAAGAGAGTAGTAGTTAGAGCAGCTAAAAGGAAGGAACCAGGGCTATCTTTGGTTGATTTGGACATTTGGTGCCCTAGACAAAAACTAAAATTACTACGTACTTTTTTCATATTAGTTAGTAATGTTTTACACACTAAATTATATATAGATTAGTTAATTATAATATAAAAGTACCAAATTAATTTTTTTTTGAACAATTATTTTTGTAGTACATTAAATAGAAAGCCCACTTTTACAAGTGTATTCTTCTTCCCTTCAAAAGTTAAAAATGTGCGATTTAAATCATACATTTTTCTATTAGTTAATAACTTAGCCAAAAAATTGATTTATATATCATGTGGCACTATTGAATGAAGATATATTTTTACAATATTTTTTATCAATATAACGTTTAAGAAAATTTATTTACGAAAAACAGTAATAATGTTAGTACTAAATTATAATCACTTGTATTACAAAATTCTGAATATATGTGTCATAATGTATAAATTAAGAACACGTTTTTTCTTTGCCTTAATCAATTTTAGATTGTATTGAATATAATATAGTACTCCCCAAAACATACGGAGTAGCTTTTAGTTTTACTAAAAGTGTACTTACAGAAGAAAAAAGATTGAATTTACTTATAACCTTCACTTTTTCATAAAAAAAATTATTCCTTGAAACCTTGATTTTTTTCTTATGTTTCTACATATCGCCGTAGTTTTTAAGTAGTTTAAAAGTTTTGTAGTTTCTCGAATTTTAAATTACCACTTATTGATAATGAGCTACACTAGAATCTAGGTCACTTGATACATAGATAGATAGTATAATTTTTACTCCGTATTAGTTTTGCTTTTGTTCTATTTCTTTTTAGATTTACTCAATACGAGTACTATATAGCCATTATATAACATTAATAACAATAATAGTTTTGTTTATAAAAATTGGTGCCCCAAGGTGCCTCCCATGTATAGCTGGTCCTGGAAGGAACCCAGTCCACTCAAGAAGGAAAAGCCGAAAAGCTCCTAGTCTCAGAAATCGTTATACTTCAGCAATTTGTTAGTAGTCTCACAATCTAAATGTTCACGAGACTTGTTCCATAACTGCATTTCAATCCCCAGTTTCTTGAGCTCCACAAGACCGCGTTCGACTGCAACAGGAGCAATACAAACATTTACCTACATTATAATGAAAATCCTACAAAAACTATGCAAGGTAGAGAGAGTACAAAACTTGAAAACAGATCACACACTATAGCCTACAATAAGATTTTAATTGCAGCCTCTTGCATTTGCCTGCCTAAAGGCTGTAAACTTATGTGCAGAGACAGAATGCATTTCTTGCAGATTAAAAAGCAGTCTGGTGCACATTAGCGTCCCCGCAAGGCATGGGTCTGGGGAAGGATCCCCTCCATAAGGATTTATGAGGAGCAACACTCTCAAGACTTGACCTTTGACCTCTTGGTCACACAGCAACACCGTAACCGGTGTGCCAAGGCTCCCCTTCGCATTTATTGCGAATTATCTATTCGAAATCAAACTGCAGGTTTGCATGCAATTTGCAGATGTAATTTTTGAGTATGATCAGGGCTTTACCATTAACTGCATCCTGTGAATTGAATGGTTGATCACCTTGGTTGATCCAGAAGTTCAGTCTCTCTTCTGCAATATCAGTTTCAACTCCTTGGTTCTTCGCTCTTCTCCAAAAATACAAAAGCCAAGCCTGCAATAGTTTGACAAACAAACATGAGGAGTTAGCCAAAGCGAAGCTATTGGTCTAACAAATGATCTAATTGTCCTGTGAAAATTGGAAACAGAAAAATATGAGAAAGGGAAGGTGATGAATTAAATAACATATATGCAGAATGCAAGTAGACGATGATAGCAATGATATGTTCTTTTTACCAATTATATGCTTGAATTGCCAATAATACCTGTTTCACATGTACATCCTCAGACTCCTCCTCACTTAAATCTGTGCTAAAAAATGCTTTCGAATTAGAAACAAGACACACTTAAAGATTAACAATTTTTCCAGGAATCAAATGCATAATAAGATGCCGGCAAAATTACAATCACTCTGCATGTTCTCTGTGTGTGGTGTGTGTGTGACTCACAAACAGATAAAAAAAGATGTAGGTAATGCATTAAAATATACTTTGTTTTTGGACAACAAGTTAAAGGCCGGTATGATTTTTGGCAGTGGAAGTTGACTTCCGACTACCTAAGTGCATACGAAAAAAGGAAGATCATAAGGTAAAGACTGAAATTTGTGTGACATTAGGACAAGATTTTAAATATTTTAAAAGTTAAAACCAATATTTAAAATACCGTTATTTTTGAATTACCTTAAAAGCAATTCATTTTGGCTTGTCTCCCCATGAGACCGTAGGAGACCACATCTAAGTTAGAGAACGTAGTAATATATGAAGAGAATAAGATGATGATCTTTGATACCTAATAAACTTGTTGCCCAACATTTATTCCATTGCCTTGTAACTAAGCTTTAAGATTTGCACCAATGAAGCACGGAAACTCTCAGGAAAGAGTGTGTTTCCATTTTGGAAACTCTACATAAACTTTTCGGAAACTCTCCAAACACTTCTTTTCTATTAAAAGATGATGCTTCCCATTTCACGTTTCCCCATGCTTCCTACGTTTCCGTGCAACATAGATTTGCACAATTCTTTTTGGTCAAGTAAGCTTCAATCACAGTTAGCTTGCAAAATCCTTATCTAAAAAGTGTCTTACTTACCGAATGTTTCTGCAAATTCATGGCCTTCATAAGGCAGCTTCAAGTCATCTGCAGCAAAGGGCATGTTGTGGGACATCAAATTGAACAACTTGTTTTCCAAAATTTAATAAAATAAATTGTAATTATATTGAGTTATGGATAAATTCGTTTACATTGAATGAATATAATTAAAGAACTAAACTCTTAAATATAATTAGTTCTTGACCATTATGTCAAGAAATAATTTTTAACTACTACAAGAAGATTTGCAATTCTTGAACTTATTGCTTAAAACATTCCCTCTTTCTAAAAAGGATCAGATCAAATATCTTTAATTGGTAAAATACTAGACTGCACTCAGGAGAAACTGCCATGCTTACAATAAGACTCAAAGAGTACCTCTTGCACTGGATTTCATGCCACTTGGTCTTCGTTGTTGGGCTATAGCAAGAGCTACTGCTTCTTCTACCTTTTGCAGGACAGAAAGATTTAGACTAAATTAGAAGTTCAGTGTTGGTTTATTACAAATTAAATACGATAATTTGTTTGTTAGGAATTAAAGATGATAACAATATGGAAACGTTAACAGAGATTCGTGCCACATATAGCACAATGCACTGAAGTGATACAGAAACTGCAGAACTATCTTCTTTGAAAAAGCCCATTAAGAAAAATGGATTATCACGAATAAAATTTGAATACATTTTTGTTTATCCCATGCTTAGGAGTTGGTCCTTGGTAGAGCTATTTCTTCAATCTTAATGTGTGTCTAATATAGTAATATGTGTCTTATATGTCCCTAATATGTCCTTTTGATCATGAGGATGTGGCTTCAAGAAACCCCCCAAATTGCCCGAGTTGAATTCCAATGCACAGTGCTCTTGTCATAACAAACTGTCATGCATTCCTGAGCTTGCAACAGTCTTCTACAAGCATCTAGCAGGACCACATGTTGCTCAATAAATGCATGGTCCACTGCCTCAAGCCTCGATGACCTCCAGGCTTTTGTAAGGGGGTGGATCGCGACCATAGACTAAAAGAGTGGTTCTCCCACGTGTGAAAGCACTTCAGTAATTGTCATATGGTAATGTGACACAAGTGACCCTTATATGTGTTGACCAGGCTGCACTGCAGTTTGCATTAAATCTATCATCTCACGAGTTATATGTTCTAACTTGAAGGGGGTGTTAAATAGTACAGTGTAATCCTAAACGTAGTGGCAGTAGGCTTTAGCCCACTTCATATACACTGGCTAGTGTTAGAAACTGGGACCGTATATATAGACTTTAACATATCAATACAATATTCTTCTCTAATTTATAGACCATGAATTCTAAGATTAATCCTATGAGATGTCCTATCTGACTATCTGTGCACACTAAGATCGATATAAAAAATAATCAGAAAGCAAACTATGAAAATGAATTTAAAATAAAGACTTCATTGCAAAGAGGATAGACTTGTAAAAACCTTGAGTGATGTCAATTCTCGAAGACCCTTATCTACTAATAACATGCTCTCAAGACATCCTTCTGTTGAAAGTCCAACATCGGGACCAATTTTTTCCTTTTCATCCGGGTCATTATAAACTAGAGTTTCAAAAGAAAACCAAGACCAGCATAAGAATTTCTGAAATCGCGATTCAGCAACAGCTGTGGACATACAATACTACTTAATGTTCTTTCACCTTTTGCCTTCTGTCCTGCTTCTAACAGAAGCTCAAGTGGAAGAGGGGCAAAGGATGACCAGTATTCATACTTTGCTCCAGCTATATCAGATTGAATACCTGCAGTGATTTTCCATCTCATTATACTCAGATTCTCAGAAAGAGCACAGGAAATATCTCTTTCTGTCACAAGTGTCAGTCTTAATCTCATTTCTAAGGGAAATAATATGGTTAAGCACTATCGGGAGAAGAATATTCTTCATTATTTTCATAAATTAATAAAATTATCAAATAATATTCTTCATCTGTAGCATTCCAAAAACAAATAACTTATTGAATGACACCACTAATCATTAAAAATTGAATATTTTTTGAAATTTCGTAGAATATTCTATCATTAGTAAGCTTAAATAGACCACTAGACCAGAGAGGGCTAGTGTTACCATTTTCGTTGTCAGTCACTACTAAGCATAAATAGATCTCTAGACCAGAGAGGGCCATGGTTACCATATTCGTTGTCAGTAGTAATAATGCAATTTAAAGTAGGGAGTACATATTTAATATAACTACTGGTACACCAACAGCCAAGTCTTAATCCAAAATCAATGGGGTCAGTTACATGAGTCAATAGCAAATCACGATAGGTCACCACCAAATTCCCTTTTTCCACTTTTTTCTGTCATGCAGTATATGCTCATTGAGCCCCAATACTTTGATGTGTTTAACATAACTTAGAAAGAGAAAGAGGTGCACGAATACATGGAAGTTCAATTAACATGACTTTCTATTTAATTACCATAACGGACACACAAGCCCCAGTACCGAGCAAGCCAACACCGCTTGAGAACAACCTCTTCCTGAAGCGAGAAACTGTGAATCACATGAGTACACAAAAGAGGATGCTACTGGGGAGGTCATAGCTATCATGTACCATCTCATCCTGGTTGAGTGCCATTCTTTTCATCATGTTTTGCAGTGATCTGATCTCACACTCAGCTTGGTCGAGTTTCTCCAAAGCAAATGCAGCTTCATCCCTTGCAGTCTGAATATCATGTGAATTTGTGACAGGAAAATAGTACATTTATCACACAAGCATTTTATTATTCTGAACAGAATAGTCAATCAATATAACCAACAGACCAAACATACAAGATGGAGTTCCGAATACCTCAGCCTCTGCTCGTAGGGATTCAATCTCTTCGCACTTTCCAACTTCACCACTAGCTTGTGGTGCAACTTTTAGTGCAGCCTGCAAGACAGCTCGATTTCATGTACAATTATGAACTGCATTTCAAGTAGATTCCTAAACAAGCAGGCAAGTTTTACAAATGTAGTTCTTTGCTATATTGTACAAGCATTTAGCAGTTGAAGCTTGTGCATAAGAGGAGATTAAAACACAGCCATATAGCTAGACACAGTCTTCTCCATGTTGCAAAGCCAAATGAAAAGCACGGAGGACAAAAGATGGACCATGATTTAAGCAGGGACAGAATGCCGTGTACTCCAATCAGGATTTTAGGCTGGCATACATATCATATACTCCTTCCGCCCCAAAATGATATTCACTATTACTTTTCTTGATCAACCCAATTTTTGTTAATTTACAATTTTGTGTAACAAACTTTTATTGTATTCGAATTTGGTTATTTTGAAATTTTGATTCAAAGAACTTTTAATACAGATGCTAAATATGTCAATTTATATTACCAATACTGATATGATAATAAATTAATAAACAGTAGTAGTAATAATTACTCCGTATCATACATGAGAGCGGCAGTTACGTTATTGGTGTGTGACTGAGAGGTCAAAAGATCAAGTCTTGCGAGTGGCCTCTTATCAAAATGACAAGAGAAGACTGGCTCCTTATACACCTTCGTGGTGGGACCCTTCTCCGGACCCTCACCTTGCGGGGATGCCAATGTGCACCGGGCTGCCTTGATAAATTAATAATGCCAGTTCAAAGGTAGAGAGTATTTTAAAGGACTTCATAATATTTAGTCTCATGAAGTCAACTCTACTTCTCAACACATCTGGAAAAGTCAATTGGCGGTATCCCGTTTTCTAAATTCATAATTTTGAAAACTGTAATTTTCAACGTTTTCATTATAAAAGATTTAGACAATATTCATGTGATGAACAATACATTACTGAGCGATGGATGTAACATTGTAGTTAAGAAAATTGAATGCATGTAAGATTGGAATTCATAACATATAAAGAGAATTAATGGTTGGCTTGAGCATCAAATATGGAACATAAAGCAACATTTGGATCATCGCAGTTTAACATGTGCAAGGCCTGCGACTAAAAAAAATAGTGGACTACGCACCTCCCTTTGCTGTAGAGCAGCTTCCTTCCTGTGAAAGTGAAAAAGTGAAGGGATACAAAGTATACAAGTCCGAAACAATTTTTACTAGTAAAACACCGAAGCCCTTATTGCAAAATTCCCAAGTTTGTAGACCTTGCCTGCTTAAAAGACGAGCATCCAGAGATACACCCTCTCCGAGATTTGCGACCTTGCAAAAGAATCACATAATAAAAAATTAGCAATATAGGCCTCTGCTATAGAGTAAAGAGAGGGTAGCCAAGCACACCAAACGGAAAATCAAATATCAATCTTCAGAAATTGTAAGCCAATTACATTTTTGTAAGATAAGCTGAATGCATTCAAGATAAGTTACAGAGATGAGGATGAAATAAATCATCATCATCATCAAAACCTCAGTGCGGCAAAGGCTGGTGAGGTAATAAGGGGTCGGATGTACGCAGCTTATCCCTGTACTAAAAAGAGGTTTCTATGAGACACAGTTTAGTGAACCATTTTGCTTCCATCCTATTCCCAAGCCAAGCCAACAAATAGTGAATCTTTGGCCCCATTGCAAATGACAGAAAATAAGGATGAAATATATAAATGAAACAATTTAAGGTATGCTCATGTGAAACACCTCATAGCCTTGACTAGAAGTAATATGATGGTCGCACTCACGCGATCATGTTAGACTAAGAAACAATAGCTAAATAATGTTTTTAAGATAAGAGCAACAATAGTACTCATTAATGATGACAAATTGCAAAACTTGGACATTATTGATTCATTTAATTCAAAAGCAGGTGATTGCAAAGTTACTTGCTTCTCAAGCTGCCTAGCCCTGGCTTCTGATTCCTCGAAACGCTCTTCTGTCAGTCGAAGCTGAAAGGTATATGTAATAACATGTAGTCAGGTTATCTTATAAGTCAAATGCTAGAAAAGATTTCTATGCGTAAAACCAGATGAAGAAGTTTCATGTAATATGAGATGCAAAATTTAAATACCTTTTGAAGTAAACTTTCATTTTGCTCCTGAAGCATATCAAGCTGCAGATATCATAATGTTACTTATAAGTAGTAAATTCACTCAGAAAACATGACACGTCTAACACAAAGTAATGTGAGAGACAATGCTGGCAACAAATGTCACAAGTGGATAAGGCATTTTGCACGTTTTGGAGTTATATGGAGTATATGAAAAGGGTATTAGAATTGTTACTGCTATATGAAAATGACTAACAGATAACCAGCTTGTCACCTGGGAGAACGCAAAAGTTAGCTGAGAAAAACTGGAGTTCTACACTATTCACGAATTATAAGCATATAGCCCCAAGTTGAACAAAGAATATTATTTCATCAAGGATCACAAACATTAACAGCAACAGCTGTAATAGTAAATGCATATGATACAAAGTACAAACTAATCAGACTGTGATGGTAATACCTCATCTTGTAGCGCAGAGGTTGCCTGACCAGCAAGTCCATTATGCTTAAAAGTTCCAAAGTCTAGTGATAACCTGGTTATGAATTAAAATAAAATAAAACATCAATACGGAACTCTGAAATAAATAGCCCAAAATTAGAATAAAAATTAGCTTGTAAAGTTCTACAAGATATATACAAGACATTAAGGGATTGGATGTGGACGAATATGTATACCATTTACAAACACAAAACACTAAAACAAACCTAGAAACTCATATGTATGGTATGTTTGGTTGCACCAAACATGTTTGGAAATAACACAATTTCACTTAATTTTCTCTGAAACTACCACATGTGAATAACAGTCAAAACAAGTCCACTTGAATGTAATGTACGAAGTATAAATTTTAAAAACTCCATGTAATTGAACACACTTTTTCCCCTTCATCAAACACCTAGTGGTTAAAACTTACAATGGTATACAAAACTTAACGTTCATCATATACTAACACCTCGACACTTCAGATCAAATGACTGAAAAGACAGGAGTTAACTGGACATATAAATCATGCTTCAGTATACCTTTTATCCTTGTGGCTTTCAGATTGAAGCTCAAAAGGTGTTGATGGAACAGCTGTTCTAAGTGATATGGGTACAATTGAAGGCACTATAGGAACAACCTTGACACCTAAATTAGGTCGGCTAGCTAATGTAGAACGAGCAGATGTTGGCTGTTCCGTTGTAACTAGATGAGACGACCGAGCAGATAGAGGCTGCATAGGTTCTACAGAGTTAGTGGACTGAAATGAGCTAGCAGCTTGAAAAGAACGAGCTGAAGAAGGTTGTTCTACTGCACTTGACTGCAATGATCGATTTGTCAGGATTGAGCGAGCTGGTGAACGAGCCGAGGGAGGTTGCTCTACTGAAGAACTGAGCTGAGATGTCTGAATTGTTGACCGAGCTGATGAAGGTTGCTCAACTGAACTCATCTGGGACTGCCGATTAGCAGAAGATGAACGAGCAGATGGAGGTTGATCTACTGAACTAAGCTGAGACGACCGAGTAGCATAGGTTGGGTGAGCAGATAGATGTTTCTGTTCTGAAGAAGCATGAGATGGAGATGCCCTCCTTTGCACTGGACGTAAAGACACAGATTGTTCCATGGATGCAGGAATTGACTAAGACAGACAATAAAACATGGGTTCACACGCCAATTTTATATCAGTATAGAAACAATTAGTAGTCTGAACTGACCCAATCCTACTATAATGGAATCCCAGTCTTGTCACATGTGTGCAGTGTGCATGTACATATAAATATCTGTGTGTGTAAAAGATACAAGAAGGTAAATAGCATTTTCAATCCGAACTCTTACCACAGTAGATCGATTTCTGGCTGATCTTCCTCCCGCAAGCCCAACGCCAGCAGAAAGACTGACAGAAACAGGATCGCATAGAAGATCGTCATCTTCATCGTCATCATCAGTCGTCTGATGCGCCATGACCTGAGCAAGCTTTTGAGCAGCGGCTTTCGTGTTCTGCGGTTTCCTTGCATTTGAAAATGAGCCTGAACGTGAATGGCCATGATGAACCGGAGATGCAGTCCCAAGAGAAGACGGAGCTTCCGAATTCGCCGTGTTTTGGGTGCACTTCTGCGGTGGGGCATACATTGGCCTCATCCTATCCATTACTGTGATAGTTTCGTGTGATGATCATCCAAGAATGAAGCTTTTATATGGCTTCGTTTTCGATTAAGCTCTTGGATCAATAGTTGTATACGGAGTATAATAATACTACGTATTATAATTACAATAACAAAGCCAGATTCTTTAAAATACTGCAGAGATATAATGAGAGAAAGACGGTTTGGATAGTTTATGGTTGAACAAACATGCATGCACGAACAAAGTTAGATTTGCCTGATGAAGATGCAGTGGCGGGTAATTCTCAGAAACAGTGATGTATCATACTCCGTTTTATATACAAGGTCTAAACTTAGATAGAGAGAAGAGTGGGGAGGAAATATGTAATGTGTATAAGATCTGAATGTAATCTCTTTATAGTTGACAAGGTTATATACATGAAAGACTTCATGAGCTTGGACATTGCTATGGGCCTAAACAAATCTAACAGGTTAGGTCTAATACAGGAACATATATATGTTCCTTTCGTCCCGTTAAGATTATCACAATTAGTAAAATGTGTGTGACTTTAAATTATTCTTACTTTATTCTTATTTTACCAGTTCAATATCAACTACACAAATTTACTTTTCTTAATAACTGTGTCACATTCTCATGTCTCAATGTTAATGAAAGTATGAAACAGAAGTAATATCTATCATGAGGAAATAAATATAATCTAGAGGTTGAATTGCTCAAATAGATGGATTATGCAAAAAAGAAAGATCATATTTTATTCTATTGAGACTTATTAAGTAGTAACATTTTACCGACTTATTAGTCTATGAACTATATTTTTAAGAAATATTATTATTTTTACTTAATATGAATAATTCTATAAAAATTAAAATATATAAGTAACTTGTATAATTAGATTTATTGAAATTGTTGTAGAAGTCAAATTTAGCCTTTTCTATACAAATTTTATTTATAATGAAGACACGTTTCAATTTATTTAATCGGTCAATTAAACTCGCTTTAACACCGTGTTCCTCCACTTTTAAACTTGGAAAGATTGCTTTAGCCATTAAGAAACCATTAGTGTATACTTTTGTATTGTGTACAAGGAATATCATCATTAGTCTAAAGCAGCTCACATCCTTCTCTTCGAGCTTTGGGTTTACTGATCACCACAATACACAGATCCTTGGGTTCAATTAATTGATCGTAGATAGGAACTTTTGTGCTGAAAGCGACGGCGATTCTACTTTTATAACTTTACTCTCAATGAAGAAATTATTCCACGAGTAGTGAGCCGTTGATTAATTTCACCGCTCCTTTGAATAATAGCAAATGCATGGAATCCAGTTCTCCATATCCGATTCTTCCACATTCGGCAGGCAGTATTGATTCCGGTTCTTGTTAGCCTATCACTCACTCGCCATTTCTCGAGCACGCCGTCTTTTGATCGAGGTTCTCAAGATTAAGAACAGCCATCTGTTTCTGAATCTGACACGAAATTGTTTCATTTCATTTTTGTAACCGTACTTTGGTGTATGTCGTTTCCTAATATATGGTATCTCAGGATTGTAGTTTTGCTATCGGGTTCATTTTACATGCATGCCGCGTCTATGATGTATTTGGTTAATAGGAGTGTAAGGTCTAAATGATCATACATTAATAAGGTAGTGCCTGAAGTGATGATGGATCCATACATTAAGTAGAACTCCAAGTGATTTTTGTTTGTCTCCTTCCCTTTGATTCCATAAATGGGGTTGAATACTGATGAACTAATCTGTGCAATACACTATCTCTGAGTGAATGCTGTTGCTATTTTGAACTTTTGAACTTTCCTTTTATTTCAATGACTGCTGGTTATGGTTTTCATTTTAAAAGAATATTTTGGGTTACTTTGCAGTTAGGAGGTATTGGGAAGTTGATTATACTAGTTCCACTGGATGTTAAACCTGTAAAAGAGCCATGAGTTATGATCTGGTGGATATTACACCTCAAGATGTCAAATTCATATGTAAGATTTGAATCCTGTCTGTTATTAAATGATTTATTTATGTATCCTTGCCCAGACACATGTATAACACCATCATGGATGTGAAGTTTTGCAGTGTAAGAGTTTGTGTTGTTAAAAAGAATAATTATCTAGCTAGGTTTAAGGTTTATTCATATGAATATTAGTTTATTAATTTAAGTGAAACTGTGCAAGTAGTGGCTGTGTTAAATTGTTAATGAATACTCTGTACACATTCACATATAAAATAATTTACATTTTTTTATACTCTTCTAAATGAACCCCTACTATTCCTTCATTAGTTCTTAGTGTTGCCAAAAACACGACAATGTGAATTGACATTTGGCTCTATCATTCTGTAGTTGAACCAAGGAAGCAAAGTTCATGCTCTATCCGTCTAGCCAATAAGTCAGACAAGCATGTTGCTTTTAAGGTAACTAGTATTTTTTCTTCTAACATTGGATTAAGTAAGAAGATTTCCATTTTAAGCTTGTTTTTAGTAATTTTTCTGTTGATACTTTGACAGGTCAAGACTACAAACCCAAAGAAATATTCTGTCAGACCAAATGTGGGAGTCTTTAGTCCTAAGGCATCACGTGATGTCACAAGTAATTTCATTGGAACTTCCACTTATAATATTGTTCTTGTTGTATGAATTCATTGAAAATGTTAACTGGATGTTGTACATAGAGTTAAAAAAGTATTGAAACTTTGGAAGCTATTGGCGGAATTCCATGACACCATATCAGTTAATATATGAATATTATAGAAATGCCTTCAAGGTGATATGAAACATTAGGTAAGATTTTTTTAACAAGAAATGTAGAAAGTACTGAATTTAGTTTTGAAATGAGGATGCTGCTGTGATTATGAGTTGATGAAGAAGGGAAATTAAACAACATAGAAAGATGATTGTATGAAAGGCTAGTGATTCAAGTATTGTGATCACTGAGTGCACTAGTGTTCTTGGATATATGAAGTATTCCTCTTTTCTCTGTGACTGTTGTCTTTATTTGCATAGTATGTGGAAACAAAACAATACTCTGTATCCGGTAAACGATAACTGTGCATATGGTTCATCCATATTGCTGTGCGAGTTCTCAGTTGCTTACATTTCTTGTTGTTTTTGTGGTAAATTAACAAAAACAATTGAAGCTATATCAATAGTCCCTTAGAGTAAAAAAACATCCAAATGATTGCTTTGGTTGGATATGCAATAATTATGTTTTCTAAACTACTCTCTAAATGTGGAGAGGTGGTTTACTTGTTTAGACAGGTAATTGTGCATAAGTGCAATCCTCTGTTTCGTTTGAGGGAAATGGAGGGAAGGGGAGCTGCTTTGCATCCCTTCTGTTGTTTCATGTTTGGTTAAACACAATATGCAAGAGGAGAGGAAAATCTAATCCAAAAGTTCCTCTCCACTAAAGCTCCCCTTGAAAATTGACAGTCAAAGTATTTTTTTTTATCTTAGAGGAACCAACTTCTCTATTATGAAAACATATGGTTATTTTGGTTGTTATGCTCTACAAACACCTCTCTTTTGCATTTGACATGTTTCTATTGATTATTGGGAGAACTATCAAATAAGCTCTCGAACTTTCATAAAAAGTGCAAATAAGCCCTTTTTCAAGAGGTTTTGTCCGGATGTCGTCATTTGGGGCGATTTCTGGTGGAACTTTTTGATGAAATTTTTAAGCATCTTTTTCATTAAGTCTAATTTCCACATACCAAATTCCAGGTAAAAATGCAATCAAGAAGGCAGTCAAATGATTTTCTGAAATATACTACGTTGTCTAACTGCGCAGTTATCTTCAAAAATTCATTTAACTGTCTTCCCGATTGCATTTTTTGGCTGAAGTTTGGTATGAGTAAACTAGACTTGATGAAGAAAATGCTCAAAAAATTTCATCAAAAAATTGCACCAGAAACCGCCCCAAATGGCGACAGGCGAACAAAGCCTCTTGAAAAAGGGCTTATTTGCACTTTTTATGAAAGTTCGAGGGTTTATTTGATAGTTCTCCCTTGATTATTTTATTAATTTTAAAAAACGATATCCAATTAGTCATAATTACATATGCATCTGTAGTCTTATTAAAATAATTGGTATTGTTTGTTTTGAAAAATTATAACTACATTGTATTATCTGGTGTTGAAATAATATAGGTGCACCTGTTATTAATATTAATAAAATATCTCACATAGCAAATGTGTTTGTAATAAACATATTGCAAATTTGCAATCTTTATAAATTATAACCATTTCTATTAAAATCAGTCATCTATTATTGCATAAGTTAAGGCTAAGGTGGTCCATGTACTACACTACTACTTTCTTCTTCCCAATATAAAAGTTCATAGTAGCTAAATTGAGAGGGAAAACATAAAATCTGATACTTAATTGGTAGGACGCATTTGATGTCATGTGACGTGATAAGTGAGAAAACGTAGAGAGGAAGTAGTTGGTGTGATGGAGAGAGAAATATCACATCACATCAAATGCGTCCTATACTCCTATCAATTATCACTTCCTCTTCTGAACCAAACAAGTATCATTAGAACCCCTGCCCTCCCAATCGTACCAAACGAGGTAATGTTAAGGTCCTTCGCGATCCCCTTCTCTCCATTGCACCAAAATTCACCTCAAGGCACTGTAACAAGGTTAAATTTGTAGTCATTGACTAGGAAGCAAGGATACGGCTGATGATGTGCTGTATGTGTGGTGACACTCAGTGGACACGATGAGGAAATGTACTGGACATGCTCACATGCCTAAGGGGTGCACATGACATTTCCAGGGACATGAATGTGAACCAAAATGCATGATCCGGAGAAGCAGATATCTTAGCAAAAGTAGAAGAGTGTTGTTAGGGCTGATCTTAGCACATGAAGACTTTACCAAAGAACATAGAAGAACATATTACATTAGAATTTATTGTTCGCATCGTGCGTTAATATGGAGTAAATCTTAAACTGAACACATTGAACCGTGTACATGGGTAAAAAGAAAAAAAAATACTTACTCTTTTGCTTAACACACTGCGCCAACACCCTTGCTGAGGTTGTAATACAAGTTCTGTCAAGTGTCAACCCTATGTATAGGAGGTGTGTCAACTCAACTAGTGATATTACTGATATCTGTCTGAAGATTGTTACTGTACCAATGTAAAAGTGTCCTATTTCATCAAATCAACCACCTTTACTCAAGCACTTGTGGGCTTGCTCCTCTATATTTATCATTGCTTAATTTCCCTGCTAAAGCTTATTATAAAGACGTACCAGGCACATGCTTTATATTGCATAATTAAGATTTTGGTTTGTTGATAATGTCATTTTCTGGCCATGTTTTCTGATATTCATGCTAATTTTGAAAAGTGGATCCTGTGGTTCATGATTGTAGCGGCTAGCTGTTATCGCAATGGCCTAACATAGTTTAAAAAGGCGATGTTAAGAAAGATTCACGTCTATTTGTACTATACTGTCTATACGTGATTTGATCATCTCATTCTGTAACTGCATAGCTATGCTGCTAAAACTATTTTGAGAAAGTCTGACGCATCCCTTATTGTTGGATTACTAAAATTTCTGCAAGTGGGAAGTAGAATGAGTCAAATGTCAGTTTGCAACCATTCAGCGATTAATGATTAATTCATGTTTATACGTTTGTATTGCATTAATATATTTGGTATTTCTCAAATATGTACACGAGAAGTAACTATGCAAGCACAACGGGAACCGCCTCTTGATATGATATGCAAAGACAAGTTCTTAGTTCAAGCCACAGCGGTACCTGAGGAGACTTCTGAAGAGCACGTCATCTCAGAGATGGTAAATGTCCCATATTTATCAGTGTTTCTATTTAATGATAATCTGATGTCAACTAGTGTTGATAGATGCATTCTTAGTTTTAAATTCTCTCTTTCCTAGTTTTCCAAAGATGGTGAGAAATATGTCCAAGAAAACAAGCTCAGGGTGGTCCTTGTCAGTCCATCCAACTCACCAGTACTTCTACCAGTGAATGAAGTGCACAGTCATCCACCACAAAATGTTCTAGCTGATGATGTTTTTGGCAGTGTGAAAGTCGGTACATTTCCAGAAGTAAGTGATTTTTATGATTCAGAAAGTGAAACCATACATATATCAGTATCATATGTCACTGAGTTTTCACTTGTCAGTATCCTTCTAGATCATTCTTCCTTAATATTTTTTTTCCAGCTCACTGAGAATATAGAGTTAAAACAAGAAAATGGCACGGGATTGGTGGAAAAGAAGCCCTTAGAGACTAAAGCCAAGAAGGATGTGAGCGAGCTGGAATCTTTAAAGGAGATGATGAAGTCCAAACTTAATGAGCTTGAACTACAATTAAGTGCGGTGAGGTCTTTTTGTATTACTTTCCATCAAATAAGCTTGCTTTTGTGCATTTGTTTTTTCGAACTTACCATGTTCTTATAGTTCCCTGCCAGAAATATTTAACATATTTTAAACCTGGATGTTTTAGTCATTTCATCTAAGTTTTTACTCTCTTTTTTTCAAAAGTAAAAACCCGCATATTCTTTTTTATCTCCCCTGATCATTATTGAGTGTGGATATACGTTTTAAACAATACATTAGCAGTATTAAAGAAGTCCCATAAAAACAATACTTTCATTCCCAACATGATGTTCTGCACTGTCACAAGTTGGATGGACTAATACTGGTGATATATTTAGATATAGATCCCGTTTGGTAAAACAGAAATCGGCTAAATCGAATGAATTGGCTGATTCTAGTGAAATTTGAAAAAATTATATTTAAAACATATTTATTCTTAAAATATAGAAAACATAAGAAAAATAGCTGAAATAGTCATTTTCAATAATATTCAGCCAATTCAGCCCCAAAAGTAACCCCAACTTATTTTGATTATTACAAATTCAACACGCGAAATCAAAAGTTACGTATTTGGTAAAGAAGTTGGCTGATAAGACCGAAAAGATGTAAATAGGGCTTACCAAATGGGCTCATAATGTCAAGTTCCCCCGTATGATATTCTCGTTTCGACTTATGATATTTGACTTAGACATGGCAGAAAAACCCGACCCTCAAGGACCCGTCCTGTCCCAAGACATTTGGGGCGGGTCCGCCCGGCACCAGCCCCATCATTCAAATGGAGTGGGTTTGACCTGCCCTGTGCACGCAATGGGGCAGGTCCGGGTATTATTAATGACCCATGCCGCCCCAACCTACCCTGCCCAATATATTGATAGGGACCTGGACAGTCAATAATAATAAGAATGATAGAATAATATTAAATAGTATGATATTGTATGGGCTGGGTCTTAAGGATAATTACTCCATCCCTTAAAACTTTGCCAAGTTTGACCGACACAGGGATTAATAAAGTAAAAATTATGTGGTTGAGGTTTGTGCAGAGGAAAGAGAAAACTGGAACCACAAATTTTTACTTAAAAAGAAAGTGACAAAGTTAGTGGAACATCCAAAAAAGTAAAGTTGACGGAGGGAGTATAATATATAGAAATCTATTGTATATATATACACATACATATATGTATGTATATAATAAATCATAAATTATTTACTCCTAAAATGTCGCTAGACTCATTGATAATGTTCCCTGTATTTCAGAGATGATAAATACTACGTATGTGTTCTATAGCAGTGTAGATCATTGAGTGTTGGTCGTCTGGATTTGTTTTAGTTTGGAGTCCATAAGATTAATCCCTTCTTTGACTTGAAACTCTTGCCTAATTTAATAGCGATGTCGTAATGATTCATCATATTACTAATGGCTTTGTGTGGTATATTTTCATTGAAGGCTGAAGCAACCATTGCTAGGCTGACAGAGGAAAGAAGAGAGATTGCTCAAGATAGAGCGAGCTTACAAAAGGAATTGGTAATTTATACTCCGTATATCCTTCATTTGGTGCTGTTAATATTACATCAATGTAATTGGCATAAAAACATCATTGATATCTGCAAAAACAATTTTTGGGCCACTAAACTTATATTACGATTTTTCTTTGTTTCATATATGAATATACGACTTAGGGTCAAGTTTTTTCATCATGTGGGAACTCGTAATGCACTTTTTGAGACCTTCAAGGTTTTATTATAATAGCCATAAATAAATTGATGAGTAAAGAGGGAAGGGGAAAAATAATCAAGAAAGAAGATTATGTTTTATACAATACGTGTAGAAAAAAAGAAAAGAACATGAAATACCAAAAGTTATTCCCCAGCAAGATGAATTTCCCAAACCGCATAGGGCTGCCTAACTGTAAGGAGTCCCAAATACAACTAGTCTCTCATTATCTTCTTTAGTAAGGGAAGTTCTTATTTATAGTCTATCACAATATGTAAATAAGGTAAATAATCTATGGATTGAAGAACTATAGGAGTCACTTTAAGTTGCTTATTTCAAGAATCAAGTCTGAAATTCTTTAAATGATTGACTCCCTTTGTGTTTGTGATTTTCCTCGATTTCCTCCATCTCTATGAATTTTACTTATTTTTGCCCTGATTCTCCTCTGATTTTGCTGGTCTAGATCTGTATCATAACTAAGAGTAACAAGTCTCACTTGTGTTTTAACATAAAATGCTAACTAGCCTCGTATGTTCATGTTGTCATTGTACGTATGAATTCATTACTGCCACTCACTTGCCCAAAGAGAATTAACAAGGGGAAGAAACATTTTACATTTCTTTACTCCAGGACACAAAATCTGATTTGCAAATTAAGTGTTGCTTAGCATTGCATTCTTGGCTTTCATTTTACGAATAAATTAGCCTTTGCTTCATTTTTGGTACATCGGAAAATATTAGCTTTTGCTTCATAATTGGTCACCTGTTTGGATGTGACCTGACTTGTAGTCTTAGTATGAGTTTTCTTGTAACCGATTCTATCTGAACTATATTCTACCGGAGGTAAATCTCTTGTCCATCCGTAACCAGGTGATTTTTTGTTTTTGTTTTTGTTTTTGTTTTTGTTTTATGACAGGCCGTTATGACAAGTAAGAAGGTTGTTAGAAAAGTGCAAGTCGGATTTCCTTTGATGTATGTGGTGATGGTTGCGGTCATTAGTATTACACTCGGATGTCTTTTAGGTCGTTTATAGAAGCAGGTACTGCAAAGCTTTTATAGCAAACTTATCATCTCTATCTCTACTCGGACAGGAACCTTCACAAAAAGGGTTCCATCTATCCCAAGTGACCCATTATATATATTTTTGGATTGACCTATGCGTGACTCAGATTTCTACTGCTGTAAATACTTTGCTTCTTTCCTATAATAAGTGTTATATAGGTATCTCCTCGGTATGGCAATATTGAAAAGTTTCTGGAACTTTTGGTAACTGTTTTTTTGTTTGTTTATTATTACACCGTATTGGTATCATCATAAATTTTAAGCATGTGATAGTTGCTTAATTGACGACCATTTGATTGAAAAACTTTTTAGTGGTTGGTGGGTTTGCATGAAATTGTTGGGGTTTGACCAAATCTTGAACATCGATCGAACTAGTCAATTTGGTTTCTTATATGAAACTTTGAACCGCAGTTGGCTCGGTTTTTTGCCGAGTTTTGGGGTTTACCTGTTTTAATTCAAAAAAGAAGAGGCCTATAACTGCACCTGTTTTGGTTATAAAAAACTTGCCTTTTGTTAAAATATTCGTGATTGCATCTTGTGAATATTGTTTATAAAAACATATAAATATGTACTTGTATCTTTTTTATTTTTTAAGTAGTCAAGCCTGTTCAGGACTTCAGGATAATCAACAAATTTGCTTACTTTTACAAATTGAATTTGTCAAACGCTTTTTGTAATAAAACCCGAATCTTTCGCAATTTATACCGTGGGATCGGCCCACCATGAGCATGGTGTGCCGATCCCAATACTATGCCGTTTTATTAATTAAAAAGGGAGAGTAGATGAACTCCGGCGGCCGTCAATCGCCTCCCTTTGGTCGTCGATGCCTTGCACTGCTCGTCACTAGCCATGGACAGATCAATAGACCATCGCTCATCATTGACATGGATCTGCTGCCTTGTACTTGTCGCTCGCCACCTCCATCGCCAAGCAGAAGAAGGAAGGATCTTTCTTGGGGTGGAGATAGTGTTTGGCTTAGGCAGTTAGGTGGCCTCTTGTGTCGGGTAGGGATGGACTAAACCAGCCCGACCCGGAATTGGCCTGACCTGTTACTGTTTGGGCCCGGTTGGCCGGTTCCGGGCTTTTAGCCCGTTTGGGCGGGTCGGGCGGGCCGGGCTCGGGCCCAACTTTTGGTGAACCGGCCCGGGCGGTTCGGGCCGGGCCCGGTTCAATTTTTTTTGTTTTTTCATTTTTTTTTGCTTTTCTAGGTTAGGGTTGGGTGTTTTGGGGGGGGGGGGGTGAAGGGGGGGGGTCGGGTGTTAATTAGAAACCAAAAAAAAAAATTGAACTTGACCCGGGCTCGGCCCGGTTAAGCTCGGACCCGGTATCAACCCGGGCCGGTTCCGGGCCCAACATTTTGCCAAAAAAGCCCGCCCGGGCCTGGCCCGGGTCCATCCCTAGGGTCGGGTCATCTCAGTTGATGGGAGGAACGAAGCTTTTTGAAGGGATAAGAGAGTATGGGGGTTGTTTAAGAGAGTTACATTTCAATGGGCTAAAGTTACATTTCAATAGATTAAAGTTACATTTCCGAAGTTACATCTGATATGTTTTCCAAGTTACATTTCAATTAATGCAGTTTACATTTCAACGAGTTACATGTGAATGAATTTAATTTACATTTTGGTTAACTTGAAGTTACATGTGGGATCACACGAGTTACATCTCATATAGCAATGGGTGCATGGTGTTCACCATGCACCGGTTGCACGGTATACGCACTGCAAATCTTTATAATTAAAACTAAACAAATTATAGAAGACTATGGTTTGGGAGTGCCTATACCGTACGACCGGTATACGGTGAGCACCGTATACCGGTACAGATTTATATTTTTTTTTTCCTTTTGTTTTTAAAAAATGGTAATAACTTTTTTATTTTTGATCCGATTTTTATAAAATTTATATCAACATTTTTTATTTTTGGAAAACACACTACATAAAACCTTCTGCCCTTCGAATCAATTTGTGCTAAAAACTCCTAGAACATTTATGGATTTGGATCCTTTGGGTTTGGTGAAAAAAGTGAACCATTTATCTTCATCATATCATTAACTCAATGCTGCAAAGACTCCCACACCTTTGATGGGTAAGGGGATCGGATGTGCAGTCTTACCCTTGTACTAAATCACAAAGAGACCGTAATCGGATGACCCATAGTGTAAATCGCGTCAAAAAATACATGGATCGATTGCTGCTTCATAACAAAGAAACGTAGATAGTTTAATAAGTCATTTTGCCTTATTCCATCATATTTCCCACCAAAAAATAGTGAGTCTTTGGCTCCATTGCAAATGATGGAAATGAACCTTTATTTTTTACTATTAAGTTTTTATTTGATGGCGGTAAATGACCAGAGTCTGCGTTTAAGATGGTAAATGTTAATCTGGGGAGTTGGGAAACTGTTTTAGAAAATCTGGCGGATTTCTCAGAGTATCGTGTGATCACTTTCCGAATCTAATATTTCGACCCTATGCCTGGGTTACACGAAATTTAGATTATGGGGATAATCACTCTCAGAGACAGTCTAAAACTGAGGCACCAATATATAGACCACGAACTAGCAGTTTTAGTAGAACTCGAATTCTTCTGATTACCAAAGAGATAAGGCCAATCAGTTAGAGTTTTACTCTAACAGAAAGTCATTCTATTAAATAATTAATATGGACATGTTTATCCGAAAATAAATTTCCATATTTATTTCTTTAATAAAATAAAATTTTGGTCCGGAGCGCTGCCCCGAGCCCCGCGAGGGCGGCCTCCCTCGACCCCCGCTCGCTAACCGGGCAGCGAGACCCCCGCCAGGGGCGCTGCCCCTTGGACCCCGCAAGGGGGCGCAGCCCCCTTGACCTCCGCCATTTAATCGAACCAAGTTTAAATTTAATTTCGTACAAGTGTGCGCTCCGCACCTCCTAACTTGTCTAAAATTAAACTTGAACTCCATTGGTAATCTGTAAATTCCATTACACTAAAATGAACCTGGTGATACTAAAATCACCAACAGTAAATAACCTTTATTTGATGGTCACCAGACACCTCATTGGCTGCCAAAGTAAGGTAGAGACACCCGATCAAACATTTATGTGTTCGAATTGGACAAATTGCCATTTACGTGCTGAAAACCCCAATAAGATTTTCATCCCCTTTATGTTTTCATCCTTTCCATACATCACTTGTTTTCATTCTGCTTTACTATTTGGTTTTTTAAATGATACCGAGTATGATTCTTTTGGAATTTTGTTTCTAATGTTTTAACACTTCTCCCGGTCACGCGATATTGATAACATCATAACATCAAATGGTTTCAAACTAAATTCCTGAACAAATTGAGTCTACGATAAAACTAAGAGAGAATTCCCCAAATAGGAGCAAAACATAAGCAAAATGCAAAAATAGGAGTACCATGTTTTGAATAGGAGTAACTTTAGTTTTTGGACAAATATACCCCTACCCAAGCCCCAACAACTTTTAATTAAATGTTTAATTCATAATAAATTCAAAAACAAAAATAAAAAAATCGTAGAAAAATAATTAAAAAATTTATAAAATATTAATAAAATAAAAATTTTAAAAAAAATTATTTTTTTTAAAAAAAATATTAATAAAAAATAGTAAAACTCCATTAAAAAAATAAAAAAATATATGGATGCCTTTCCCACCGCTTGTACTACCTCCCTGCACCACCACCTCCGGATGGTGAAAAAATTCCATTTTTTCCTAAAAACTGTCTTTTTCTGAAAATGCCAAAAACATGACATATTTCTCTTTGCAAATGTCAACATTTTCATTGTTTTCTGCCATAAATATGGCATCGTAATGAACTTGACATTTTTTCCCCTAGTGACAGGAGGTGTGGTGCAGAGGCGGCAGTGAATTTTATTTTATTTTTTTGATTTTTTTATTTTTTTTAAAAAAAATATATTTTTTTATTTTTTGAAAAATTAATAAATAAATAAATTATTATTATCGAATAAGTCATAAATTAACTAGGATAGGATTAAATAAGTCATATTTTAGAATTAACTAGGTTAGGGATATTAAGGGTACAAAATTAATGTTTACTCTTTTTGAAGGAATTTTTAAATTTTACTCCTATTTGTGCAATTATGTTTATATTTACTCCTATATTGGACAATTTCTATAAAACTAATTTCCTATTTGTACAGAGCTTGGATTGACTTATTTCTTGAATAAATTCATTTTAAATAATCTAATATGGTCCTTTTCTTGTTGCTGGTTCTTTTATTTTCATAGTTTTAATTACTTGCTATCAAACAAAAGAAGCTTTTATTTTTTTTCATGAAACTCAAGTTGCATTCCCTCTGTACTCTTTTCCACGCACCAAACAAGCCATTTAATTAGGGATGGACTCGGTTCGGGCCAGGCCCGGTTCGGGCCTTGAACCGGCCGGGCCTCGGTTCAAGGTATGGGAGGCCCGGAACCAGCCCAGGTAACTGTAGTTTGCGACTCATTTGATTTAAAAACAATTGTTAAATTCATTAGGCCCCAATTGCTTGAAGCATTGAGATTTTCCTAAAACGCCTTAATTAAATAGATGATGTATTGATAATTGATGCATGATGCTTAATTGCAAAAACATGTCCAAGAGAAATATTTAAATGTAATGAGCGAATTCTGAATTTTGAGTTTATCATGAGTACATCAGTACATGCTTTTCTAAAAACTTACTTATTGTGATAAACCACATCCAAGAAAATTGTGATAAAAGAAACTTTGTATCAGTTTAGGCCAAACCAGTTTGGATCTTTTTTATTTCATCATTTCAATCAAAGAGCACAAAAGAAGAGACCGAAAAGATCAACTGAGGGACATATTTAAGGATTAGATAAATATAAACAAACCCGACTTGACCTTATTTTTGGAGTAGAACCCTTCATGACATGCAGGGTGCACATGGCTTCCTCAATGCGGAGAAGAACCCATCCTTTGGAGTTTGGAGGGATAATGTTGAAGATAAAGGTCATATACGATGCCTAAAAATGCACCAGCACATATACACAATTACAGAATAACTTTATTGAGAATCACTGACCTTTGGACAGAACATTCTCTGGGGTTGAGTTCTTGAGGCCTATAACTTACATCAACCCTAAATGGGGCAGTCAGGCTCAACTATGACAGTAAGAAAATTCACAATTTCACCCAGATATTAACAACTTAGGGATGCAAATGCTAATCGCCAGCCGTCTTAAAATTGTGAGCTTGACTAGTTGACTACCCTTTCTTGATAAGATGTCCTTTTCATATAGTGTTGCATTTTCTTTAAACTTCTTGCATTTGTACCTCAACTAGGGCTCACACCCCCCTCAGTTGGTGAGCCTGGAACAAAGGGAACAAATCCCCTCCCACCAAAAACAGGCCGCATAAACGAATCATCAAACTTACGCCAATAGCGATGCACAGTATGAGTCGGTGTGCTTAGAAGCATGCGTAAGGCAGTAGGTCGAGGAACATCCGCGGATGTGTCATTTAGACTGTTTTCTGAATCGTGTAGGTTGTCAAGAAGTGGAACAGTGAAGTCCCTCGGAGTACCAGATTCAGATGTTGTCATTGATGAGAAAGCACTAGTTGACTGCTTGTGTAAAGGTAGCAACAGACTTATAAGAGGTTTTGTCATAAAGCCAAATACCTATGCACATCATAACACCAATAATAATTAGTGTTGGATGTAGCTGAATTATCACTGGAGGAAGAGAAAGTCTGTACAGGAGACGGTAGCCCCCCCCCCCCCCCCCCCCCCCTCCCTTACCATTGTGCTGAATAGAACAACAGTAACAGTACTGGTAATCATTATTGCATTCTCTTGCACTTGTGTGTGCCCTTTACTTGTAAACTGCAAGAGTATATAAATGGTATTACCAAGCAGAAGGAAACGTAAAGAGCAGCCAAGCAGCTTCATATTCTAAGTGGGATCATGACCAACAACTATCAATATCTTTACCTTATTATACGCAAGTGCTATTGAGACAGCACCTCTCATTAGACCAGCCCACCAAATTATTATCTAAAAGAAAGGAGTAAGAAAAGAATATTCAAATATGTATAAGAGAAGAATAAATTCTGAAGGATAACTCCTTACTTGCTGCCTGAAGGATATCTTGTCAGAAGTATTTTTCTTTGCTAAGTTGGATAAAAACGATAGGGGAAAGACAAAGGCAGCTCTGCCTACTAGGATAAGTCCTACCAATATTGAGCTAACTGCAACCGAGAGTCCAGGGCTGCAAGAAAAGTGATCAGATACAAGAAGGTCGAGAGCTTCATGAACTAAATTACAAAATCAAAAAATTGTGACACACAAAAGTTCCTTACTGTTGTGATCTTTTAGAACTGAATATCTTGAAGTTAATCAATGGTGTTGACAAAAAGCTTATGAACTATGAAGGATCATATGTATGTGTGTGTGCATCGTCTTTCATAGTTGACAAATCATCATTTTATATAGATTATTAAAAGGACCTGTATGGCTGTATTGAACATACCTATCACTGACAAACTTCCACTTCTCAATATCTAAGGCATCCATACCAACATAGAGAAAGATAAATGTCTCGGCGACAAATGATAGAGTTGCGAAGGAATGCCTGCAACCACAATGGAGATAGAATAAAACTTTAAGAGGCTGTGAAGTAAGGGAGATTTTGGCTGAAATGACTGAAGTTGCTGATATTTCTGAAGTGTAGTTGAAATAGTTTATGGTGCAATCTTGATGTATTATCAAAAACTAAAATATTTCTTAGTAAGTAATGAAAGTAATAGCTAAAAATGAAGGTATAGCTATCGCTTTCATTCACTTTTGAAAGTTTAGCCAAAAAAGTACTTTTGACGCTGTTTTTTCTTTATAAAAAATTAGGCCTGTGTTGCCAAATAATGTGGATAAGAAATCTTGTTGATAAGGAAAAAAGAAAAAATAACATAAGGGGAATCTAAGTAGTACTAATGTTTTACAAGCATACTTAGTAGTGATCCTTGAACTCTCAGTCACATTGTGCCAGGTATAATGGGACATGACAATTCCACAGAAGAATACTGTAAGTATGCCACTGAGATAAAATAACTGCAGAAGATGGAAGCATTAGCTTAATTGCAACTAGTGAGCAGCTCAACACTATCACAAGCATTAATGTCACAAGTGAAATCTTGCCTCAGCCATAATATAGGACAAGTAAGCCATGAGAATCATAAGGGCAACCTCACGATCCGTAGAGTGCCTGATATCACAAATCAAACAAATGAAACTAAGAGCTGTAAGAAAAAAGCTGAAAGTTAACAAAAAAGAAAGATGAAATAGCAAGTTCAAAACAAATCACATATTTTTTTTGACAAATTAAAGTATGTGTTTGGATTTCTCAATGCAGAAACTGCCCTAAATAGCATAAAAAACAATGTCAAGTTCCGATAAAGGAGTCCTATGTTTCCCCCTAAATAGAAGTAATTACTGCTACGCATGGAAAATACTGCCAATTATAGCATTAATACTGTCATCAAGGTTGTCAAGGCATGTAGGCAAGGTGCGGCGCTAGCAAACTGCCTTGTCGCCTGGACGACTAGGCGAGCGCATAGGCGACAAGTAGCCATGTCCAATATTTGAATATAAAATAATCTACTACTCCTTATATATTATGTGTATATATGATATGAAATATTGTACATAAATTACTAACTCAAAGAAGAGTGTAACATCTATCTTTAATAAATTAGACTGCAAACCTTTAGCAAAGAGTAGTCATGTGATTCATGTAATTGAATTTGACATTTTTTACTCCAATTTCGGGAAATTTTTCCTTTCTCAGCATTATGATGTGTCTCTAGGCATGCTATGAAATCCATATACATTAGGAAAATATTGGTTGCTTTTGTCTCTGAATTGTGTACATATAGCAATTTTTGTCCCGAGTTGTTAGCAATTTCAAATATCACCCTTGGTTTTCACCTGGTAGCAATTTTGGCCCTTCTCTTAACATAAACATTCAATCTCCCTCAATTGAATCCTATTTATTCCTGGGTAGCATAATAACAAGAACTCATTTCTTCTTCCTTCTATACTCTATATTCACCGCAACGAAAGAGAGATACGATTCTTTATAGCCACTTTTCCTCTTCCATGTACTCAGAATTGTCATGTTTTATGATTTTATCTTGTTAATATGTTTCTTTATTAAAGTCCCCATCTATAAATGGAACATACTAGTATAATAATTAGGACCTCTGAAAATAAATGTGCATGCATGCGAGTTTGTTAGCAGCATGAAAAACAGTATACATTTTAAGGATAACTTTGTGTAATACATTGTTGTTGCAACAATACTTTTCTGCAGAAACCTATCTGCCAAAAGTTTCTCTTCTTACTGGCAATCAGGTTGACTCACACTTCAGCGAACTGATTAAATTAAGAAAATGTATGTATTTGTGAAGTAGGTTTTAATTTGTAATATCCTTAATGCACATTATGTCAATTATGGAAGCGATTCCAACTTTTATAAGAAAAAAAATATGCAGTTGTTTAATGCAAAAAGATTGCCATTGAGACTGGGGGAGGATATACCTACAAGTTTTACCACTGCCATGGAGATCTGATGGCATAAATGAAGAGCACATACATTTTCACATGAGTATTTGGCAGAACAGATATGTACATTTATACCAATGAGATCTCATGGAAATGTTTTCTTGTTTTTGTGCAGCTTCAAGTTACCTACCAGAAAGAATATTACATCCTCTTCTCCAAATTATCTTCCCACTTCCATTTTCATGTCTCAAATTATCTACTCATTTCCTATTCTTTTCCCCTTTCTGAATAATCTTATCACATATTTCACTACTTTAATAAGCGTGCCAAAAAAAACACAAATGGGCCATGAACCTGATTTGACTTCTTTGAAGTTTTTCGATCTCTCATACTTCATGAAATCATTAAAAAGAAAAACTACTCCGTATATTGTAATCTTTAAATGTGCTCTTACAACCAAAGCCAAATCAGCCAAATCTGAATTGCTTATATGTCAATTACAATGCATTTTTTAATCCTCTAACTATAGCGGCTGACTTCTTTCATGTAGTATAGCAAGTACCTATCTAAGCAATTTCTTCTACAATAGCAAGTTAAGACAAAGATCAGCTCATGTTTAGTTTGTGAGAGCAAAGATTAAATTTTCTCAGGCAAAAGGACTATAAAATGTACGGAGTTCATTAATACCTACATTCATAAAGTCAAAATCCATAGAAATTGTAGAACATAGATGCTGACTTAGCCCTTACAATAACTTACCTCCCAAAGTATAGCTTTTTGATAATATAAGCACTGAGCAGTCCAGTCTGCAGAGCCAGAACAAGAGGTCAAAATAAAATTGAGGCAAAATGTATATAAAGGGAAAATGTGAAGAAAATCATAAATTAAAACAAGTGGATACAAAAGCATCCAGACACACTCTAAAAGGTATGGGTAGGCATACATGCAAGCAAACAACACAAGGTGTGAGAGGTAGTGGGACAAGAGCTTACTGCCACACCCAGAGAAGTGCTCATGAGAAATAAATATAAGAAGTTTCCAAGAAAATGAAGCCCAATCTTGGGATCAAAACTTGACATGTCAAAACTTTCAATAGCATTGAAAAGCACCACTGATGTAGCATCATTGACAACTCCCTCTCCAAACACAAGACTGTAAAGTAGGGGTGTCTCATCTTGACTGAGCACCTGTTGCATAATAGAAACTTATTATGTATTTTGGAAATAGTGTTTCACCAAATTGAAAAAAAAAAACAGTTCATAATGTTCAGTACCTGCAATGTACAAACAGAATCGGTTGCAGCAAATATTGCACCAATTGCTAAAGTTGTTTTGAATAATAGAACAATAAAAGTTGTTAGAACCAAGAAATATGAAATCAGTGTTGTGCGTGTGTTTGAAACAGACAAAATATACTTGATACCTAAATAATCTCCAAAATCCAGAAAGTCAATTTTCAATTTCTTGAATATCTCGACAGCACCTAAATAAAATAAGTTCTAGCAATATAAGTTGATAATTTGTGAATGAGCTTTTAAGAAATTAAAAGAACACTTAACAACCAAAAATAAATGATGGTCAAACTAGATAAGATATTGATGATGCATTACATCATTGCCCACAGGGGGGGGGGGCTAAAAGTGAAGCAGTTTCTGAGAAGTGAGGACATCAACAATGTATTCATAGCATCTCATGCCTTCAATGAATACAGCGGCTATGAATTTATGTTATTCATAATCTCATTGGGCACAGGCTACTCTAGTATTACTTAGTATACTCATCAAGCATAATGTGAAAATAAACCTCGAGTGAGTAACCACAGCACATATCTTTTATTGGTTCTTAAGTATTAAAGCACTCAAGCAAGCAAAATGTAGACATGAAAACACACACACATAAAAATATCACAGGTTCACTTCCTAATTTCAAAAGCGGTAAAAACATGGTACTGATTTCTATAAGAAACACACTTTCCATATATCCCCAGAAAACAAGAAAAATATATAAATCGATTGGAGATGGTACATTAGCACTTTTCTATTCCACTTATATTCACACAAAAAAAAACTATGGTACAAGTTAACAAATATTTAAGTTGCAACATAAAGTTTTTTTGTCAAAATGCAGGAGAAAGATGGTAATGAGTAAGTTAAGGTATGGGTTTGTATACCAACTGATATAATAGCACATGAAATCAGTGTACCAACAGCTCCAAACAGCATTATAGTCATGAAGTTCACGAAAAATTGCTTCTTCTTCACCTGAAACCTGCACAAAGCAGTGGTACACTAAGAAAGATTCTTTTTTGTTGGGATTAAATTATACAAAGAAACGTTCCATTTGGGAAGAGAATAACTAGCCACTCTAACGGATCTGCATCTCTATAGAACAATGTAAGAGTTACTCATATAATTTCTGGAATTGGTTATTAATTTCATACACATACACGGCTCTAGAACTTTGAAAAAACTATAGATACTACTACTAATCCTGCTATAATGTTAATGTATTTAATTCCATTACATTGCTCAAATTTAATCGCTACATAAAAATAGGGAAAAAGGGCCAAAAATAACCTTACACCATTTCAAATTAATCACATCAACCCTTATACTAAATAAACTACCATACAAACATGCTTACTTTACTGAAATTGAACCTCCTAATAAGTCTATAACAGGTTACCTTTTGAAAATAACTGGAAAACTTGAAAGAAATGAAAAAGTCATGCAATTATACAAATAATCAGAAAAATATAATAATTAAAAATGTATACAAATCAAAATGAAAAAATGAAAAAAGTGTAAAGTTTACACATAACTACTTTTTTATAAAAAAAGATAAAAACGGGTTTATTTTTTCTTTTGAAACATACTTGATTTGAACCAAGTTTTTGTGACAAAATCATATACCTTTGTTTGACAAGGTCTAAAAAAATTAAAACTTTGTATAACTTTTTGTAGATTTTCAAATAATCTATAAATATTTACATTTTCATATTTTTAAAACTTTTTATATTTGATATTTCTTTTTATAACTTTTTACGCTTTTAGTTATTTATAGATCTCAACTGTTTTACATCCTTATTTCTATACGCTTGAAATTTTGATGACCTTCAATTTTTTCAGTTTTTCTCCATTCCTAAATGGCTAGAATGATTTTTTATTCAAAGTAAGTGTATTTGTATTATACCCTTTTTAAGTACAACGGTTTATGTTACTACTATTAATTTGAAATCGTAGAAGAGTTTATTTGGCGTTTTTTTCCTCACAAAATGGATTTTCTGTTCCTCTGTGAAACACCATTCATGTTTTCGATCCAATTACAAGTAGAGTTTTACCAATATTAGCAAATATTATGTGCTATACGTTTTTTATAACATAAAGACAAAAAAAGTAAAATACTTAAATCTCCAACCATGTAAAAGCATGTTTGGTGAACCTTTTTCTTTTTACAGAAATACTTCGTTTAATGACAACTCTTTTATCCATAATGTATAAATGAACTTAATTGGCTGAGAGTATGATCAAAATGAGTAAATTGAATTATTGAGCATGATAAATATTTGTGGACTACATGTGGAAATACTAGCTCGGATCATTTTGAATTTAATGGCGAAACATAATGCAAAAGACAACTATCTCGTTCTCTTTCTATGGGGGGAGACTGGTTTACGGTCGAAAGATGAAGCAATATAATGAGGGTAACTGAGAAAAGCAGTTTATACAAGGAATATGGGCATTCAACTAAACACAAGTAATACAATTTCAGATTTAGGAATTACCCAGCATTGAATATTATTGGCGGAAGGAGATATATGAAGAAAAGATCTTCACTAAAGACAAAAAGATGGGAACTCTTTCCCCCGCTAAGGAGTAAAATAACAACTCCTGTGCATAAACCCTGCCATCAATCATAGCAATTTATTTCTAGATGTTAATAGCCAACCGTGAAGGATCAGAAAGATTGAAATAACAAAAACTAATGTAAGATCCATGTACACTAGTCTAATTAAGCTATCTACACATGTGCTTTCCTATTTTACATGCTACTTGGCTCTGTCACTTATATCAAAGACATCCACAATTCAGAGTCACAAGCTAGACTAAAGGCTTAAGAAGCTGTTGAATTGGCTGATACCCTATGGCTTAACATCTATACATTTGGAAATCTGAATAGACCATCACATTCATAGGGGTCGTGATAAATGAAAATGAGTACCAAGGGATGAGATTAATAGCATAGGCTTGAAAGCTCACAAGTATAAGTGCAGTAATGGACTCGTTCACCCAACGGTTCTCCTCTAGTAGATGTCCAAGAACAATGCATGCGCAAAGCAGCGCGACAAAGAGGTTCATTGACACAACCGAACCATGGTCAGACGTGAGCAATTCCGTCTTGGAGAACAAAGAAGACAGCCCTAAAGTCATTTCTTTTCCCCTTTTCTCCAACGAAATGAATGAACTTTCTCACAGAAAATCCAAACCACCCTAACCAATTTGTGTATTATATCTTTTCCTGATTTCCAATGTCATTAGCGTGCTTTCTATTTACTACGTCTCCGGGATGTCCATTCCAATCCCTCCAGAGATCTAAATAATGACAACACACCAATCTTTCCCAATCACACCGTCCAATATGGCAATATCACAATGACTTAAAGGCTATGTTTTATGGAGTGCATGAAAGGGTTAAAGGCAATTCTTAAAGCAGAAAACTTTATGCAAGAAACCGAGAATCTGGTCGATTTTCACCCTAAAGTCGAACAGAAATTTGTAAAAACAGAAAATAAACACAGAAACTGTCCGTGCAAATTGCAATATAGGGCTGGAAAGATGATGAATGAAATAGAATAGACACGTGAATGTGAAATGTGGAGGATCCGAAAGCTTCTAGAAAATCGCAGGATTAAGGTGACCCGCTCTTTCTCCCGGTTTCTCCTTTTATTTGTAGTCATACATGTATATCTATGTGATCTAACTGCTATAACATCTTCAATACGTGTAAAGTTGGCGATTATCATAGAGAATAGGGAAGGAATACTCTTCCGCGCAGTATTGAAATATAGGCAGCTCTAAAATCTGGATCCGGCGGGGAATCGCTTATTTTTCTCTATGGTTATGACCCAGCTCAAATTTAAATGTCAGAAGTGTCCCGGACGGTTTGTCACAGAGACCGAGTGTATTTTGTCCGTGTACCATTCAGTTTCATTTTATTCAAGGAAATGCGCAGTTATCTTCAAGAATGCGCAATTATCTTCAAGAATTAATTTGAATGTGTTCCAGGTCGAATTTTTAACTGAAATTTGGTATGAGTAAACTAGACTTGATTAATAAGATGCTTAAAAAATTTCATCAAAAAATTCCACCGGGAACCGCCCCAAATCGCGACGACCGGACAGATTCTCCTATAGAAGGACTTAATTGACTTTTTTATGAAAGTTCGAGGATCTATTTGACATTTTTCCCTTTTATTTAAGACCATTGTTGTGACCCAAAAAATCATTATACTGATTTGAAATATGATCTTTTGGTCTCCATATTACTCAAATTGGGATAAAAGACAACAAAGTGATCTCGTTCTAAATTTCCACCTCCAATCATGTTATCATTCTGAATCATTTCATTTTTGAGAATTAAATCATTCTTATTCTCTAAGTATTAATCGTGACGAGAAAATTAAGAATTTGACTTCTTTACACAAATAAAGTTCTTCATTGAATCTTTTTGCTAAGTGACACTTTATCTAATCTTCTCCTCTCTTTTTTCTTTACCTTAACCATATTCAATCATTGTTATTACACTTTGAAATTAAATAATTTATAAATTTAATTATATTTGAAAATGATTGTCTAACAAAATCAACAAACTATAACATCATCGCTCAATAGATACAATTACAATTAACAATTAAGAAATCAAAGAATAAAACAATCAATTATCAACGAAATCAATTAATAAACTAATCAAATAATCATATCAAACTAATATGCTTCTAAGAATGTTTTTTCTTGAACTTTAATTTGCTGGTTTGATCTAGTCTTTTTAAGTCTGGTCTGAAGTGGTCTGATCTAGTCTGGTATACGTCTGGTCTCTGTGTATTTTATAACTTCAAAAGTCAAGTATAATCTGGTCTGGTTTGTTTGAGACTGGTCTAGTTTGGTCTAATCTGATATGGTCTAGACTGTTTAAGTCTGGTCTAGAATTGAAAACAGTCCAAGTAAAAACATCCTCAGAAGATTTTTAATGAAATTTTGTACACCTATTTTTGGTTAAGTGTAGATTATACTCACAAAATTTCAGCTTAAAATTCAATCAAGAAGTCAGTTGAATAAATTATTTAAAGTCAAAATAACATATTTAATTGACTTCTATATTAAAATTTAAACTCAAAGTCAGTGTAGTCACACATATTATAAACAATTAACTTTGGGTCAATTTTTTTTTTTCATTTTTTGGACCTATGGTCCCCGCCCCCTACCCCTAGGGCCGTCCCAGCAAATACCATATTTATCTGTTGACCTTTGCAAGATTTGGTCTGATGTCACATTGTCACCAACTATCCACCCGTCTTCGCATGTACACGCTTAAAGGTGACTATAGACAGTCCAATTTGTTTGCTGTGGCGTGTTGATTTTCATACCGTTGATCTTTATGTGTAGCAGCTTTCTCCATCATTTTCCATTTTCTTTAAAAAAAAATGACATCCCATCCCTGAGGGTCCTCCAACCCCGACCGGACGGTACGTTAGGAGGATATAAGTTGGACTATAATCTCAATCTGACAGATAGAGAGTGAGGCTCTGTCCCCGATACTTGCAGAGGCCTTATGCATTTTTTAGCATAGTAACCTCTAATCGCAGTTGCCGGGATTCAAACCCGGAACCTAACCCTTGTGATTCCATTTTCTTTCACTCTCTCGCTACCAGTTGAGCTACGTCCACCGATTCCATTTTCTTTCACTTTTTATGGGATGGACCTACTTTATACACTCCCTTGATGACCTCAATCCCATCAAACTTGAACAAAATAAAAATAGTCTTTTTGAAATTTGTTTTAAAATGATTAAAGGAGTGTTTGCAATTGCTTTTGTTTTAAAAATCACTTTGTAAAGTGATTTTGGAAAAAGTGCTTAATAATAAAAGTCGTTAGTGTTTCAAAAAAAATGATTTTGAAAAGTAAAAGTTAGTTGTGTTTGGTAAAACATGTGTTTAATTTAAACAGAAGTTGCCACTTCAAAACATTCTTTTTAGCTTTTTAAGGAGTTTTTTTCCGAATTAATGTTAATTAATTAATTACGAAAATAATGCTGGTAAAAAAATATTTACTGATCTACTGTTGGGTTTAACCATGGTTAGGGGAAGTCGTCCAAAGGTTGGACGACTTATAAGTACAAGGTGTTGTTTATAAGTCGCCCAACTCTTTTGCTGGAAAGTACATATATTGGGCGACTTTATCGATGAAAATATGTGTTTTTTCAGCCCAATAGCCTTATTCTCATGTGTTTTAGTAACACTATTTCGCACTATTTCGCAGGCACGTGCCTTATGCAAGGCTGAAGAGGCCCAAGCCTCAGGGCCCCAAAAATTGAAAAAATTGGCGGTCCAAATTTTTTATATACCTTTCTATTATACCTTTGCATTTTCTAACCTGATGTGGTCCGCCCAACTGCTAAGTCTAGTCTGTGTTTCTTCGAGCTTGCGAAGCAGACGGGAGACCCCATTTGCGAACTGCGATTGAGAGCTATCAGCTGCGGAAGATGGATGGGAAGAACCAAGAGGTGTACGACTAATCTGCTATCCAACTGGCTTCTCTCATTCTTTGGAATCTCTGCTTCGTTATTGGCTTATCTGCTCACAAGCCACAACTCACTAAAAATCAGGAATAACAGGACACATGTTTAATCGATTTGACAAATGACACTGAGAATTCGAAGACAAGAAGTGAGGCTGAATCCTTGATATTATATGGACTTGAGAATTTTGCATTTTTGCTAGGTGTGGTGATATGGTACAAGTTGTTGAACGCTATTAACTCGGTTAGTAAATTTCTTCAATATGAGAATATGGAAATTGATGTTGCTCTAGATCTTTTGCAAGGACTTGTGTTATTTGTCGAGGAATTTAGAAAAGCTGGTTTTGAAAAAGCTATGGATGAAGCCAAAGAAATGGCTTTTATGCTCGGAATTGAAACATCATTTTGTGAAAAAGGAATTATTCGAAGAAAGAAGCAATTTGATGAAAGTAATAGTGAAGAAGTCACACGGTCAGCTTTGGAGAGTTTTCGACTGGAATATTTTCTTTTTATATAATGGATAAACCCCAAACTTCTATAGAAAGCCGCTTTGAACAATTTAAGAAGCGTGGAGAAACTTTTGGGTTTTTATTTCATTTGAGAAGGTTACAAGGCGTTGATGATGAAAGTTTGCTTCAATCTTGCAAGAATCTTCAAACTTCTTTAACACGTAGTGCATGTTCTAATGTTGATAGTGATGAATTGTTTTCAAAGTTGGCACTCTTGAAATATTCTTTACCAGATAAAACAAAATCTGTGATTGATGTGGTCAATTATTTGAAATGGATGTTTTCCTAATGCCTACATTGCATATAAGATCTCATTGACGATACTAGTGACAGTAGCAAGTGCAGAAAGAAGTTTCTCAAAGCTGAAGCTCATAATAAAAACATTTTTATGGTCTGCCATGTCTCAAGAAAGGTTGAACGAATTAGCTATGTTATCAATTGAGAAGGAATTTATTGATGACATAGATTATGCGGACTTCATTAGTACTTTTGCATCTAAAACTGTTCAACGAGTTGTACTTAATTAGTTTTTAATACATTCAAAGTCATTTTGTTTTATTGTTTATCTATATGATAAACAAACACTGTGTATAGGACTCATTTTGTGAAGCTCGACTCAGACTCGAGTTTAGATAGGACCGACACTGTTATTTTGTTATTTTAAGCGTGCTAAACTTGTTAAAAGAGTTATAGATTTGTCATACACATTTTTATTAATATATATTTGAATGTATTTTGTGTATTTCACCATAATCAGACATTCCAATCACTCTTTCAACAAATTTAATATATTTTGTGCTTTTCAATGGAGCCAACTATATTTTCATTGTGATCGATTAATGTTTTTACTCAAAACCAATAATTTATTGAGTATGCTAAAAAAATGATAATGTAATCAAGGTTAAATCCAACATATTCCTTGAGCACTAGCCTTAGTTGAACATATTACAGAAACAAGATGTAGTGATTCAATCACACAACATCCCACATTTAAATCCTCCTCGTGTGTGAGGTTTACAACAAGGTAAGTTCATGAGGATTTTTCAAGTGATGATCCACTAGTCTCGGGGTTAGCTTGAGTGATCACGCAATCGGTGTTTTGTCACGCCTTTAACGACAGTGTGAGATTTAAATGCTTGCTCGAAGCCTGATGATGTTTGATCAATTTGTGATTATTATCCCTTGAGCTACGTAGGAAACCTAAGAACATGTGAAGTCAATACATTAATAGGGGTTCATGTGCATGGTAGTATATAGATAAGCGTTGGGAATCTAGCGAATCACTCGAGCGACTTAGAAAATACTTTTCTCATATAAGAGTTTGGGTGAGTTTTTTACAGCTAAAAATTAGTTCGTCCAAGTCGAGATTACATGATATTAATGTTGGAAAATGTGTTAATAAATTGCATTAAATGGTCATTTTGAGAATTTTTTGAGTGGGGTCCACTTCCGATTTGGGTTGTGTCAAAGTGGTTTCGGATTGTCCTTGCTAAGGGTTACAATTTGATATGTGGTACACTCAAAACGGATAACGGGTGAATGAGAAATTGATTCTCTAAGTTCAATCATTTAAATGGAGAAAACTAGGAAAATGATGAGTTTCTAGTGTGTTTTATCCCACATTGAAGGGATTCCACTTTGAAGGAGTTAAGATTCCTAAGGGGAAAGGCTCTCTTCGCGCGCAGGGAGTGTCGATCAAATCCCAAAAACCGAGAAGAAAAACCGTGAGTCGTCTGCGTGGGTGATCTGCGGACACGAATGCCGTCCGAAAATCTATCTTCTATAGATAAAAAAAAAATTCTTCCCGTTTTTTCCTATTTTTTTTCTCCAGGAGCAGACCGGCAGCTTTCCGAGCAGGCGGCTGTCGTTACAAGACCTTAAATGCCCAATGGTCATGCAATTAAATGGACAGTTACGGACGAATCAATGCCAACGTGCTAGACATTAATGTTCAACGATCATGTCCATTAAAACGTCATTAACGCACAACAAATCTTTCTCTATAAATTGGTTAGCAGGTGGTTTGCAACGACCACACATACGTTCACAAATGCACTCTTTAGCTCTCAAAAACACTTCTAGCATTCCAGAAAAATTCCTTCATGTGCATACTTGTTCTCGTTCGCCGGAATAATTCGTTTGAGTGCTCAAACAATTGTTCGTAGTAATCGTATCCTGGGAAACGATCGTTGCAACGCTCCTAGCATCCCGAGAGGCAACGAATACGTTTTAAGGACATCGTGCATTGCACGAGTTTTGGCTAAATTCTGCTTCATCTGTTTTCTGTTTTTCTTCGGTTATTTTAATTAATTAATTATTTTTATTAATTAATGTTTCTTCTTTTATCCGAGACACACCCAACAATTAACAAAAGAATTAAATTCACGGACAAACCCTGCACGGCAACACGAGTAGCTCAGTTGATTGATCGATAAAAAAGTTGGAACATCCACTAAGGATTGAAACCCACAAAGATGGTGTAAATGTTACGGCTCTTGTGTTTTATGGTAAATTATCATTAGACCAATTGAATTATTATGGCATACTTTGTCCCAAATGTTTGGGGCCCTTGAGATTGAAGGTTCAAAACTTTTGAAACAAAATTTCACCGACAAAAAGAGAGGCCTAGCCGGCTAGCTTTCATAGGCCATAGTAAATAATCCGCCCCTGAATGTAACCCGTCACCAAGTGCAATGACAGTATAAATAGGACTCACCAAACCCCATCCACAATTGCCATTTTCTTTCTTTCTTTCTAACCCAAGATTTCCCCCCATTCTTTGATTCTTTTCTTGATTATTTTTTGTCTCCTCCGGCGAGAGATGGGAAGTGTTGGGGTGTTGAGGAACAGCACGATGGTGTGTGCTCCATTGGCGGCTCCGTCCGTGGAGGAGCTGATCACCGGAATGCATAAGGCGAAATCACAGGGCGCTGATTTGGTGGAGATCAGGCTCGACTGTATTCAGCATTTCAACCCCAAACAGGACCTTGAAATGATCCTCACAAATAAGCCTCTCCCTGTCCTCATTGTTTACAGGTATATATATTTTTAGTTTCTTACACCTTCCCTGTTCTTGGGAATGGCTTCCTGCTTTTTTGGAATTTCCCATTCCTGCAAATGAAGAATCCAGTTACATTTGGCTGCGCCAGAACTGTTTCTGTGCTGGTGTTTCCTTAGACTTTTTCTGCTGTGGGATTGATTTTTTCTTGGAAGTGCACTACTTTTCAGTTGTTTTTAATTTGAACCATACTTTTAAGTTGTTTTTAATTGGTTTTGGTGTTCCCCAACTTTTAAAAATTTGGTTCTGAGAGTAATATGGAGCACCCATAACTGCCATACGTATTTGGGATTATTCCTTGGATAGCACTAAATAAATCATTAATTGCTAGAATAGGAGTAATATCTACTCCCTCTGTCCCGCTAACAATGAGACAAGAGGGAGTGACACGTAAATCAATAAAAAAATGGTTTATGTGGTTGATATTGAATTGATAAAGTAAGAATAAAGTAAAAATGATTTAGAGCCACACAAATTTTGCTAAATTTGGTATGAGACAATCTTAATGGGACGGACCAAAAGGTAAAACGGGACAATCATAACGGGACGGAGGTAGTAATATTTTCCCAAATAGGAGCTACATTTGGGAGTTGGACAGAGTTGGACATAAATACCCTGAAGCTTGGCAAAACTTTTAAGTTGTTTTTAATCGGTTTTAGTGTCCCCCGACTTCTGAGAGTAATATGGATCACCTAGAAGTATTTCTATATTTTCATCGAAACACTCTAATATCTGCTTCTGTTAATTGAAGTAGTAGATCCAAACACCCTCTTAGTCTGATATGATCTCGCATATTATTGGACAGAAATGAATCCAATTAAAAATATCATTAATTAGGGCGATTTCTACCGTCTTAATAAACAAATGAGAACACGATATGTATCATGCATTTGATTGGCCCAAGTTATTATTTCATTATTTAATTATATTTATATTATTAAATTGTCATATTGTAATTTGTCTATGTAGACAAGGCACGGTACCTTGAAAGTATAATAAAATTTGTGTAGAATTAAATTTACGAATCTCTTAGCTGAATATATATGGTTTGAAAGTAATAGGGAAAAGGTACAAATATACCCCTGTATTATGGGTGTGAGAACAAATATACCTCTGTTCTATTTTGCGAAACAAATATATCCCTAAAGTATATATGAAAATGCATATATAATTATATACCCATCATGTTCTTATAAAGGAGAAAATTTATCTTATTGACTTTAAATTGATAAAATAAATTTCAAAAAACACCAAAAATAAATTATAAATTTGAAATTAAAAATAAAAAAAATCTAAAAATATACTTGTGTCCAATGTTTCTCCCTTTTATTATTTTATATCTCAATTTAATATTGTTACTATAAAATATTATTTCAAAACTTTACTATATATTTTAGTTTCTTTCGAAAAAGTGCTAATTAAATGACTTTGTACAGAAAATGTTACTCCGTATTATAATGTTCAATTTACATGAAAATGGTCATAACAATATATCAATAAAAATTATCCTAAATAGGAGTAAAAACGTTTTGAAATTTCAAAATACGACTTTTATGTTTTAATTCCTTAAATATGAGTAATTCTGCAGTTGGTATATTATACATCCGGATGTACGTAGGGCATCGTACATCCGGCCCATCAGAAGTATTATAATGGACTGGAGCACTAAAAGACTACAGTAAACGGTCCAAAATTAAAACACGTCCAAAACTAATACATGCCAAAAAAATCGGTGGCATTTTTGTAATTTAAGCAAAAAATCACGGCTTCTGCTAAATAAGCAATATTGTACTTTTAATGAGCATTAGACCTATTTTATTGAGTATTTATGAGACTAACAATGAGTATCACGATCCCTACTTCATATCTTCTAATTCTTTTTTCTTTTTCTTATTTTTTCTTTTATAAAAGCTTATTAAATTATATCTATAATACACTCCTATTAATTTCAATATGAGAGTCTAATGTAATATGATACTTTTGAAATATGCATTGATATTACAATTCAAGTCTATATCATATAATCTCATCAACACAATACCGGTTTCTTTTACCAATATAGCAATATTAACCCAAAATAAATAAATAAATTATACTACTAGTCATAAATTTAGCATGTTAAATACTACTCGGTACTATTTAACTTTACAATTGTAGTAGACACCACTTCACTTGCAATCACACAAACCCAATTGTAATTAGTATGTACTATGTACTACGGAGTATATAGGCATTTAGCCATTCACCAAGTTAAATCAAATACCACGTACTAAAAAGTTAAAATCCTTATGACCTTATTTAGACATCCAGATATTTATTACTCCCTCAGTAACATAAAAATGAGTATCAGACCTATAAAAATGAGCATATGCAACTTGTAAGATGAGCATTGATAAGTTTTGTTCGTTGAACGTCAAGACATTTTTAATGAGCATCAAATCTCCGTTATTGAGTATTAGAATCTGCAATTAAGTATCGATCATGATTTGTGGTCTCGTGTCTATAATGAACTCCTATATAAATCATATGAGACTTTTAAAATATACATTACTAAAACATTTTAAAAATGAGCATAACAGAAATACTAAATGAACATACATAACTTACAAAATGAATATCCAAAAATTCAAAAACTCATTTATGTATGTTCATTTTTTTAGGCGTTTTACTCATTTGAGTATAAAGTAAAACTCAATTCTAATATGTTCAGTATTAATTAATATATAAAGAAAAGGAAGTAAACAACAAATCAGAAAAGAACTAAAAAAACAAATCAGAAAGAAGTAAAGAAAAAGACAAAACAAAAGGAAGTCAAACCAACTAGCTACCAATAAAAGTAAAGACAAAACTAAAAAGTAACAATCAGGAATGACAACGAAAAGAGGAACGAAGAGTATGGCAGCGAAAGAAAAGGAGATGGGGACTGAAGAGAAAAGAAAAGAAAATGGAACGAATATCCAACGAGAAAAGGGAAAAGAGGAAGACGACAGAAGAGGAAAGAAGATGGAATGGAGATCCAGCTAGAAGGAATTGAAGATGAGAGAGCAAAATCTTAAAGTTGCTAACAATTACAAAATAACCGGATGTACACATACATCCGGATGTAGGATATAATTTACGGTAATTCTGCCATATTAAGAAGAAAAAAATGCCATGTTTAAAGCCTAGTAATGTCAAACTTGACAGAAATTTACTTCTATTCAGGAAATAAAAAATATGATAGTCCTATTTTAGATTTTCAAAACATTTTTACTCTTATTGAGAGAATTCTCAAAATAGGTTGGCGATAAGTATTTACTCCTTATTTAACATAAGGAAAATGCGTTCAAATATGGTGTGTTATAAATGATGTTCCGTATGTGACAGCTAGTCTAATGCCAACTAGATAACACGTTGGACCAACTTTAATCTTTTACTCACAGTCTCACAAGGACCACTCAGCTGCATGGCATCTCATTCTTTATAGTACTCCGTATCAGTATCACGTTAGTTTTTAAAATTTTCATTTATGATTCATTTAAAAAAAAAAAATATCAAGTTTTATAATTTTTATAATCTTTTCAGAAGTACCAATATTATATACTCGTAAAAAAACTTAAATAAATATCCAGCTTTTTTCTAAATATCTTTTTATCTGTTTTTTTTTTCAAAATTTTTATATGTAATCCGGAGTATTAGTATAATTGGAATGACTATAAAAACTTAAACTACGTAACATTTAATACTACGTACAGTTTTTCAAAATATTGATCGTAAATGGAAAAAGTTGTACTCTCTCTATTCCTTAAAACTTTTTTTTGGATATTCATTAACTTTGACATTTTCCCTTTCAAATAAAGATTTTGTGGTTCTAATTAATTCTCTCTCTTCTGCACAAATCTCAATCACACAGTTTTTTTTACTTTATTAATCAACATGCCGGTTAAACTTGGCAAAAAATGATGTGTCAATGATGTTGCATACAGCTCCAGAGTGGTGAACATCACCACGGAGGGTATTACTATTCCTTCTTTATTAGGTACTCCATCTGTCACAAAAAATACTTCTCACTTTCTTTTTTGGGTCGTTCCAAAAAATACTTTCTACTTTCCTTTTTCGGACAATTTTTGTGGCTCACATTCATTTTACCTTTTTTCTTACACAACTACACCTATACATTTCCATTTTATTTCACTTTCTTAATAAGAGTGCCAATTCAAACCAGGAAGTATTTTTTGGGATGGAGGGAATATTTTTTATCGATATTAAAATTAAGGATGTTTTTACTTCGACTACAATTTTGTGGCCTGATCTGATCGGGTCTAGTCTGATCTGGTCTTGTAAATGTCTGGTATATTTATAATTTACAGCTATCTAAGACTGGTCTGCTCTGGTCTTGTCTTATCTGGTCTGATCTTTTCTAGGATTGAAAACAACCCAAGTCTTAGTTTTTTTTCGGGGAAATGAGGAATATGTGTAAGTTTTCAGTTTTGAAGCATGTTTGATGACCATATTTTTCGGTTTATCAATCAATTTTTCACCAAATATGTAATTTATGATTTCGTACATTGAATCGTGTAATAACAAAAGTAAGACTCAAGTTACTTTTCTGGCTTCATTGAATGAAATGAGTGTAGAGGACAATTTTAGCTATTTTTATATATTAATTTTTTTCTTTATTTTATTAATAAAGTAGATTTTAAATATAAAAAATTCATAGATCAACAAAATTAGGCAATCCAACCAATTCAGCTAACACTTCATAAACTTTAGCAAAAAGGATGACACCCCATCCATGAGGGCCCCCCAATTCCGACCGGACGGTACATTGGGAGGATGTAAATTGGACTATAATTTCAATCTGACAGATAGAGAGTGAGGCTCTGTCCCTGATACTTGCAGAGGCCCTATGCATTTTTAGCATAGTAATGCCTCATCGCAGTTGCCGGATTCGAATCCGAGACCTAACCCTTGTGGCACTCCCTTTCTGCCAGTTGAG